GGGGGGGGGGGGGGAGGGGACGTCCAAGAAAGTGTATTATTGCAAAGAAAAAATGATTTTTTAAAATTTAATGCTAATAAAACACGCCTTTTTATATTTTTGCCAAATTAGCTTTTGGAAAAGGGTTAAAATTCACTTTGGATAGGTATAGGGAGGTAATGAGATTGGGACGCCCAAAAAGGTTAGACGTGAAACCAATTTTTCCGGACAAGTACAAGATGCATCCTATGTATTTTTCCTTTTAAATATAAGGACTTTCAATATAGTTCAATAAAAAAAGATTTAATATATAAAATTTTAGTTGATTTTAAACTCCTACATATGAGGAAATTAATTAAATGATTGTTATAGTGATATAATTAATTAATAATTATTTATGGCAAGGAATAACGTAGTATGCATGTGTCTTGTATTTAGAAAAATTTATCTACACTTTTGGACCCTCATTTGCACGCAATAAAAGTATATATAGCATCAAGGTTTTCTCAATAATTATATCCAAATGAAAGAAGAAGAAAAAAAAAAGATTAAATACCCAAATAAATGAGACAACTTGAGATGGAAAGGAACTTCGGCTGATTTCCGACCCGTCAGATATACTGCACTTGGAAGGCATTGCTCTAATTTATGTTAGCTTGCAAGCACCTCAAATTAATTTTAGGGTTATCTCCTAATAGTATAAGTTAAAATCTGGACGGATAGAAGAAATCACTTAGTATTTTTTATCTCCGTTAAAATTTGCACCTGGACCTCATAGTACTCAACCAACTTCTTTATATTAATAATTTTAATTGATTTTTTTCTGTTTGAAGAATTAGTAACTATTTAGCAAAGGCACAACAAAAGCGGCAATATCTCTCAAAATCAAATTCTCTCTTTGTGCCTTTATATGACACTACCTAGTTTGCAAGTCCATAATTTTTCCTTCTTTTTTTTTAAATTTTATTCTACCAAACAGATTTTTTATTTTATCACAAAGCTTTCGTATATTTTAAAATATTTTTAGTTATAAAAGTATATAATTTATTATATTCTTTATATAGTTCTCAATTTTTTAATTTTTTTTAATATACTAAGAAGTTGATGTCAAAATAGAGAACAAAGATTAAGTGGGCATTTGGACATAAGAATTGTAAAATTTCGAAAAAAGTGAAAAAAAAATTCAAATAAAAATGGTATTTAAAAATTAAAGTTGTATTTGGACATGAATATAATTTTGGGCTGTTTTCAAATTTTTGTGATTGATCTGAAGCGAAAATTTTGAAAAATAAATTTTTGGAATTTTTCAAAATTTCAAAAAAATTCAGAATTCATCTTAAAGTGATGAAAATCAAAAATTTTATGGTCAAATACTAATTTCAAAAAAAAATAAAAAAAAAAGCGGAAAAAAGTGAAAAAATTTATATGGCCAAACGGGCCCTAAAAGGTTTGACCCTTGTAGTACGAGTCCTGCGTACTTCTGAAAATGGAGAGAGTAGGACCTTTTCACTTCAAGTTCAACCTTAAATAACGATTTTTTTCAACTTTAACCCAATGTTATATCCAAACAACCTATATCATGGTCACATATATAGCAATCCATGAAGTGTGTTAGGTGCATGTAAGGTGGCTGAAACGAGCTTCCACAAGGCCATAACATTGTGTTAGGACAAAGTTAAAGAAAATGGCACAAACATAGAAGAAAAACTTATAAATCCATTTTACTTGTTGGGTTTTGATAGAGAGAAACAAAATAGGAAAACAAGAAAACTACGTTCTTTCCTCTTTGCTTCATTTATTAATAAAATAATAACAAGAACACAGGAAACAGGTACATAATCGTCTTTCTTCAACACATAATTAATTTTTCCTTCCTATCTTTCTAATTTCCCATGCAAGTTACTTTTTGCATGGCACCTTCTTTGAGGGTTCGAAACCAAAAGGTCCAACAGTGAAGACATCAAATGTGGGGAGTTTAACAGGGAGAGAAGTAGCTGCTGGTGGCTTAGGAAGTGGGGTGTATTTCAACAAAGCACCAGATTTTCCACCATTGTAATCTGTTGGGACATCACAGTAAGTATTGTTTGATGAGACCAAGAACACCTTGCATTTGTGGTAAGCTGCTGAGGACAAGAATTTGGGCATGATCCAGAAGAAGCCATTCTTGTCTGTCTTGCCCTGTTCCACTAATGTCTTCTTTGTGTTGTTGCATACTAGCTTCACTACCGCACCTGCAATACCATCATATATATACAACAAATCAGTATCCTTTAAGGTGGCTAAGTTTTCGGAATGTTATAACTAAACGAAAGTGCTACGGTATCATGTCACCTAAAAGATAACTATAGATAACCACCTATAATTATGAGTGTAATTAGCTACTTGAAGAATAAGGGTGAAACCTACTACAATAGATTGATGGTGAATAGAAATTATTTACAGTGTCAATATGTCATGGTATATATTCAAATTTATAATTTCGAGGGTAAATAACTACTGTTCAGTGTGCATGCACATAAGATATGTATAACAATCTATATTAATAGCCATAGCAACATCAATGCTGCCAAATAAAAAGAGTAAAAAATTTCAGCTCAAAATACTAAGAAATCGTTAGAAACATATGTATTAACTTAAAGTTTGATGTGGTACTAGAGTTTTGAAAACGAAAATTTGACTCTTTTTGGTAAAATGCCCTTTTCTATCGGAATGGGTTTATTAACCTTACCTATAGTATATCTCGCCAAGTAAAATGACATAAGTAATACTGATATGAGTCACTCAGATTATATGTTAATGTTGATTGCTTAAAATGTTAACTAAAAAAAAATACTCCCTCCGTTCCAATTTATGTGAACCTGTTTGACTGGGCACGGAGTTTAAGAAAAAATGAAGACTTTTGGAATTTGTGGTCCTAAACAAGTTAAAAGGGGACCTAGAGTATTTGTGTGGTTATAAAAGCTTCTCATTAAGGGTAGAATTGTAAGTTTAAGCTAAATTATTTCCAAATTTAGAAATGGGTCATTCTTTTTGGAACGGACCAAAAAGGAAATAGGTTCACGTAAACTGGAACGGAGGGAGTAATGATTTATAAAAAAGAAGGATATTAAACAAATTACCCAGGAGTGGGGAAGCTTGGTTTAGAGTTTTAACCCCTCTAAACTTGCACGGCTTGCAGTAAACAAGGCCACGGACTGCTACAGGTTTCCTAGTAATAGGAGCAGGAGCAGGATAAGGTGATGGTGTTGGTGTTGGTGGTTTAACTGGTGGCTTAGCTGGTGGTTTTGATGGGCTATAAGTGGGAGCCTTAGTTGGTGGTTTAACCGGTGGTTTAACTGGTGGTTTCGATGGGCTATAAGTGGGAGGCTTAGTTGGTGAAGGGGCTGGGGAATGTTTGGGGTGGTGGTGGCCTTTGTGAGGCTTAGGAGCTTGAGCTGGTGAAAGGTGGTCATGATGTTTGGTGGTAAACCAACCCCCAATGTCTTCCTCCTGGCTAAGAACTACTGTGAATGAGCTAAGTAATAAAACTGAAAGCTGAAAAAGAACAAGGGCCTTTGCCATTGTTGCTAATATTGTGTGTGTAAAAGAGAAGTGAGAGGTATGAATTTATAGGGGCAGAACTAGTCGGTAGTATGTGGGAGGTAACAGATACTTGATACATTAATCGAGGTGCGCACAAATTGATCCGGATACACAGTAGTTATTAAAAAAAAATGTATGTACGGGGGCTCGAACAAGTTTAGTTTTTACAATTGTTTTGTTTACATAAATAAGATTATAGTATGATATCTATTCTGACCTTAATTAAATGTGATCCATAAGACAAGGGTTTCAGTTAATCTCAATTGAAGCTAGATTCTAGCTGGAGAAGTCCTAACAAGGGAAGACAAGTGCTTAAATGCTGCACATGCTGGAACGGAAGGCCACTTAGAAGTTTCCTATGCAATGACCTTTATTCAATGCATATTCTGCAAAAAATTAAACAAAAAGGGGAAAAAAAGTAGACCTTGTTCATGCAATGTTTTCCTTCTTTATCTCCCTTTGAATATAGTAACGTGATATACTATATCCATTGTTGTTAACTCGACATGCTTGGTTTGGACGCTTAAGTTCCAAATTTAATCAGAATTCTCTATCAAATCAACTTCATAATTTGAAATCAGTATTTGATTACAATACTCAGAATGGAATTTTCCACAAAATAACTTATTGCTTTAACGAGATTAAGTATTTTTTTAGCATCGACGAAGTTGATATTTTTATTCTCTTAAGAACATATCAATTTCAACATTAATGAAACTGATATTTTTATCTTTCTTCTGAGAACGTAGTGATTTGATCTAATAAGCATATGGCTGTCTAAAGTAGAACCTGGATACGTATATCTTCTAATTACCTTCATAATCAATCTGTTAACGGAAGAAAATCATTTACACGGGCAGTCGGCAGAATAGTTAAGGAACACAATCTCACTGTACTAAAACAATGTCATTGTAACAAAACGAAACTTACTTCAGCTATAATGATCCGGAATGTAACATATATAAAAAGTGAGGAACGCAATACAACGCACGAATTTACTGAAATCCAGGTAGTGATCAGAAATGATTATTTTTTATTGTGTAATATAATTGTTCAGTGGGAAGGAACTCGTACATCTTAATTTTAAAGTAAAGCGTCTTGGTTAGCGGAGAGGAAGAAAGTGGGTCCTAATAATGATCCGTTATTGTTATTACTGTACCCATATCAATAAATTCATAATTTTAAAAATATTGTGTAAATATTATTAGACAAATTGTTCAAGTTATATAAAATTATAAAATAAAATTTTAAAAAAAATTCTTGAAATTATAAATATTTATTATTTAGATAGCTCAAAAAATGAAGAATCCTATCTCATAGAAGTTTTCAGATGCCTCATTGTGATTTATGAGGAGTTATGCCGAAATATCTTATAAAAATTATTGTAATTTCTATAACCTAATACTTAAAAGAAAACGCAAAAATACTTTTATTACGATTCTCAAAAGATATCCAAATAACACATACGAATTATAATTTAAATCTTATAGCTTTTTAGAAATTTTGAAGTGAAAAGCTTGACTACAAAATTGATAATGACAATATAAAGTTTAAAGAATGACTATTGTTGAATTATATTTTATAACAAATAACTTAGTACATAAAAAAGAATATAGTGAGACGTTGTTATTTTTTCAATTGAATGCAAGAAAGAAAAATTTAACAAATTACAACTCATTTATAATATATATAACTCTTATTCTGCTATTTCATCTTTATTGCTTCATATTTGTATTTTTATCAATATGACTCTTAATTTTATATTATAATCAATTTTGCTTTATTTTTTATTTACTTCAACGCTAATACTCTTCGTACGAAAATAAATTTATATACCTTAAGAGCTTTATCAACTTGACAAATAATCTTATTTATATGATAAATTTGAAAACATAATTGAATAGAATTCTTTTCTAATTAGTTAATTCAAAAACTTAATTATTTGATCTCAACAATAAAGGAAATTACATAGTTTTCTTTCATTCACATTCTTAGTATTGTTCATCTTAATTTTTAATATTTAAGTATAATTATGTCTTTAACCAAAAAAAATTTAAGTAGTTAAAAAAATCATATGTCAATTTTGGATCTTTGTGTTTTCAAAATCGTTGTGTTTGTGACGCATATAAAATTTTGTCAACTCATAATTTCTAATATCTTCAATAACAAAAGAATCTTATCGTTCATACACCTTTAATACCAACGGGCTCTAAAGAAAGAAATTCATTTAAGGTAAATTTTTTAATTGATTTAAAGGCTTAAATATTAGGACTTTTAATAATCAAATTTTAGTTGATTTTAAAGTTCTAAAAATTAAAAAAAATACTTAAATTATAATTTTGTCTAATGTGAAATCTATTTCTAAAGGATTAAAAAAACGAACAATATTTCACTAAGGGTCTTCGTGCTTTTATATTAGCATAGATATTCTAGCCTTAGTGTAGACGTTGCGGGGTTGGCATCTAAATGAGTAATTTTTGAAGAAAAAAAAATACATAAGTATTGTTTTGAAAATTGTGTTTGAGTTAAAAAATAAACGACCAAATTATTCAAAGAATATAGTCACTTTACTGGTTTAATAATCTATGAAAAGTTATTGAATACACTGTGTATGCGTATTAATTTATATATTCATTTAGAAGTGCTAAATATTAGAATTTCTTACCTAGTTCAAATGAGGAAAGTTTTAATAGATCATACTAAAATATTATTTAGTAGATGAATCTGTGAAAACTTTTCTATAATTTATTCTTACATAAGACTACAGATAGAACAATAGCACATTTAATAATGATATCAATCTTTGTATTTAACTTGTAACAGGCAACATAATTTCTAGAAAGAAAATACTCTTAGAAGAGTTCTTCTTCTGTAATACTCCCTACCATTTGAACCGTATTTTGTTCCTTCAACTACCGATTATTTTTCTTATTTTTAGCTATTCTATATTTAAAACCTTTCCTTATTTTTAAGTTTAAATCTTTTAATAATCTTTGTTGACGAATTTAAATCTTTCTCCTTTTACTTTTAGTCCTTCCATTCTAAAACTCTTAACATTATTTTTAGGTTTTTTATATTTTTTCAAAATCAATATAGTTGATTTCGAATTACAAAATATTAGGGAAATAATTAAATGATTGTTCCCAAATATAAGAAAAATAATTAAAATGACTATTTTGACCAACGTGAAATATATTTTTAAAGGGTAAAAAAGGCGAACAACATTTCGCTAAAGGCTTTCGTGTTTTTAATATGATATAGATAGATAGATTATTATTATTATTATTATTTACTATTTATCAAATGATCCATCATTATATTTACCTGAGATTTTTGGAGTTTTTCAAATTTTCGAAAAATTTTAAAATTTATTTTCAAGTGAAAATTAAAAATTTTATGGTCAAATACTGATTTCGAAAAAAAAGTGAAATTTTTTTGAAAAAAAATGAATTTTTTTTAATGTCCAAATGGCCTCTTAAAATCAACTAGACAACTGCACTATGTAGCTAGTCTAGTCTGCTCTGTCATTCCAATTAAATGCCTTTGTCGCATATATCAGAAGTCTTCAAAAGCTGACTAATTTTATTTAACAAAACACGGCTAATCTCATTGGTAATTGAACAGTCATAACATTAGCCATAATTCACGTGTTTTCACGCAAAACCATGTTGCCAATGGTCAATCTAGAATAATTACCAGAAACAAAAAAAGGAAATTGTAAGGGAAAAGTGTCTTGNTCGTTGCTTGACTTTCCTTATTAAACAAGCATACTTCCCTTGTTAAACGTCTTATCTATATTAGCACGTCAAAATAATACTCCCTCCATTTCATATTATCTGTCGTGGTTTCTAAAAATAGTTGTCTTAAATTATTTATTATTTAAAAAGTTTAAGATAAAATTAATTATTTTTTTTGTTTTACCCTTAATAGTAATTGTTCTTAAATATGAAAATGTCATATAAATAGAATAAATATTCAATGAAGATAGATTATATCTTAAGGTATAAATAAGGGTAAAATATTCATTAAAAACTCTTCTAGTTAATGTTTCTTAAGGTCCGCGTAGAAGAAAAATATGACAAGTAATTTGAGACGGATGAAGTAAAATCGACTTAAAGGAGGATTAAAGGGTTTTTTATTATCAAACTCTTTTTCTGTAACGACCCGACCGGTCGTTTTGAGTAATTGCACTTCGCTCGCTAGTTCTCGGGCATGACTAGCCCCGTATGATGTATTATGACTTATGTAAATCGTCGGTTTTGGTTTTCAGGATAATCGGAACAGATTTGGATGATGTTATGAGATATGTTGGCATGTTTGGTTGAGGTCCTGAGGGCCTCCGGTGTGTTTCGGATGCTCAACGGATCATTTTGGACCTTGGAAAGTTGGCAGAATTGCTGGTGTTTTTGTTGCAGAGAATCCTTCTTCGTGTTCGCGAGAGGGATATCGCGTTCGCGAAGGGTTGTTATGAGAGGCAGTGAGTTTCTTCTTCGCGTTCGCGAAAGTTCATGAGTTAAAGCTACGCGTTCGCAAGGAGCGATCTGCGTTCGCGTAGGGTCGGCTGTTTGGTCTTCGCGTTCGCGGGTGGGCCCTCCGCGAAGAAGGGAATATTGGTCTGAGGCAAGTTGTGCTTCGCGAACGCGAGGGAGCTACCGCGTTCGCGAAGAAGGAAATAATACCTGGGCAGAATGTTTAAAAAGAGGTCTTCGTGATTTTTAGGCCATTTCTCACCATTGTTGGCCGAATTTGAAGCTTTTTAAGAGGGATTGAAGAGGGATTCGAAGTGAAACACTTGGAAGTAAGATTTTTGAACTCAATACTCGATTCTATGGTAATTTCTAACTAATTAGACATGAAATTGGGGAATTCTATGGGGAATTAGGGCTTGAAATTGGAAAGTGTAAATTGGGGATTTAAGGGGTCATTTGAGGTCTGATTTTGATGTTCTTGATATGTATAAACTCGTGGGAGGATGAGGATTCTTTTGATGTGATTTTTATCAA